CATACTTCAATTGAGATATCATCAGGTCCTACAGACTTTTCACCCTTGGTTTTCCTTAAAACTTCATCAACTTCTTTTTTACTATTGCGACGGTAAAAATAAAACATTTTATTATTATTAATGATATTAAGATCACTAATGTCGATCATATTTTCAGAAACTTCATTAAAAAGTTTATCAAAATAACTTATCCACTTATGTTGAATATCTTTTTGTAAGAAAAATATTTTTATTTTCATCTTTAATTCACTTTACTTGAGTTAAATCTTTACTTTTCTTTTCTCTTTGTTTGGCTAGTTTATACATATAACTTTTCACCCTCCATAATATCTAATCTATTATTAAGATCCTTAAAAGCATAATTTTTATCGTCGTAAATTGTTCTTTTAGACTCTCTGCTGGTCGTTTGATATTTTTCTCAGTTTTATAAGGTTTTACATTTAAATCAAATTTTATAACATAATTTCTTATATTTTATCTTTTTTTGCACATTATTATTTCACCACCATCTTTATTTATAAAAATTTTATCTTTTAATTCAAGTAAATCTTTTGTTATTTGTTTAATAGTATTTGTTACATTATCCCACATAATATTTGTTTTTTCATGAACTTCCCAAATTTTGAAATTTTGAATTTTCCTCATAAAAATAATTTTGTTTGTCTTTTAAGTTCCTCCATCTAAATTTACAATAATGAGTGTTAGTATTTTTTATTTTTCAACTCTTCATCTTAAAATCTAAAACTAATAAACGATGTTGGGTACTTAAATTATCACTTAGAATGACCTTACAATCTTTACAATCTCGACGATCTCTTCTTTGCATAAGAAAATAATAAATTTATATTTTATTAGATATATTCTTATAAGTAATAAGATGCTCATCTCATTTTTTGAATAAACTATTAGTAATAACAAAATAATATGCTAAAGCAAAATCTAAAATAGTTCTACCTTTTTCATCAGTCACTACAAAAACGTATCCACCATGAATATTTTCTGAAATCCTCTACCACTCTACCGACATGTTCATTTAAATCTGGACGATCTCTTCTTCTCATAAGAAAATAATCAATTTGTGTTTTATTAGATCCACTCTTATAAGCAATAAGATGTTCATCTCTTTTTTTTAATAAACTATTAGTAATAACAAAATAATATGCTAAAATAAAATCTAAAATAACTCTACCTTCTTTATCAGTCACTCCAAAATCGTAGCTACCATGATTTTTTTCTGAAATCTTCTATCACTCTACTGACATGTTCATTTAAATCTCCTCCCATAAAGATTTTTTTCTCGAGAGGCATCATTTGTATTAAGTTTTCTAAGTCATTTCAGAATTTATCTTTAGACCTTATATCCAAACTTGCGTAGCATAAACACTTTTAATATTAAAAATCTTAGTATCAATAATAATCTAAGGGCTATAATTTTATCTCCAACTATTAATTTTTACAACATTATCTTTCAAACTCTTATCTATAATTACATCTACACCATTTCTAGTGCTGACTCCTACCAGAATACCAAAGTTTAAAACCTAAGTTATTAATCTCCTTAGCTTTTTTTTTCAACCCATTTAGTTATTTGAATACATAAGATATTAATCTTTTTATGAATCATAATATCAACTAATTTCATTAATTTATCATTGGGAGTACTTATATTCAAAGATCATATCTTAATATTAATTTCATTAGTTTCATGGACTGATTTATTTTCTCGCATCTGTCCGTAATGTGAAAACCATTGCTTATTTGACACTACATACAGTCGCCGGTGTAGCAGTCGTTGCATACTTTTCACTGTATTCAGGCTATACAACGCGTCGCTTACAGGGAACACCCTAGCACTTACACGATGATAAAATGATTCATGTCATGAGTTGCTCGAATATTCCTTACAAAGAGAAAATTAGGTGCGTCATTTGTATTGAATAATTTGCTCAAATAGATCTGACCTAACAAAGAAGTAATTAATTATATTACTAAAAGTATAATATTCGCAACTAAGCTAAATAATTTTTTAAATTCCTAACTGTAGTTTATAGGTGTACATTATACGGTAATTAATGCATGTTTATCCTCATGCTTATGAGAAAAGTTTACTTATGTTAGGCGTGCGCAACGCTGCGTACAACAGGGATGTTACTCAGAGGGTATTGGGGGATTATATCCGCGTTATCTTTCTGTAACCTCCCTTTAACCTACTGTAACTTACAAATATATGAAAACAGAAGCGCGAAACCTACTAGATGGTACAGGTAGGTTACAGATAGGTTACAGGGAGGTTACAGGGGGTATAACGCGGATATAACCCTCCAATACTCTTTGAATAACTTCCCTGATTCTCCAAAGATGGTTGCGCTCTAACTATACTCTACTGCAAAAAATGAGAATAAAGTATAAACTATACCTGAACAAAAGAAACCCAAAGCAAACCCCGATAGACAATAGTACTGTGAACATATCCTCAACAAAATTGTGACAATAAAAACGAAAGTAGTCCTTGAAACTTGATTTTATTTCCCGTTAACATCACCATTCGTGAAATTTGAAGAATAACATATGAGGCCCACTGCATTATGCTCAAAACGCAACAAGGTGTCAAATTGAGCTACTTGTATTTTTATCTTGTGACTTTTTCCTTTTTTTTTTTTTTTTGTCTTTTTATTCAGCCGTGCTAAGCTGTACCTAGGACTTGTAGCATTTCTCAGACCGGGGTGGCATATATTGATATTAAGAAGAACGTGTTGCTTTAAAATTAGAAACGAATTGTCCATTTCTAGGTTCTTATATATAACAGTCCTAGATTGGGTTTTAATGGTTTTGTAAACCAGATGAATTGGTGAAGTCCATTCTGAACTTCACGCTACGGTTATTTTCTGCACTTTTTCTTGCTTTTATTGCTATTAGGTCCTGCTATAAGGTAAATAATTTTCATTAAACCTCTGCTGATTTAACTGCTGTATTGCGAAGTATAATTGTTTATGGTCGATATAATGAGAGATTTGTGCTGCTCTATCTGTGCCTTTTTCAACATAGATAGCGGAGGCAATTGAACGTGAAAAGGAGGTTACAAAGGAAGTGGAAATTCACAATGTTGATCGAGCTGTTTGTGGACGCATAGCTGGTGTGATTGCCAAAAAATATGGAGATACAGGCTTTGCAGGACAGCTAAATTTTGTGTATGTCTTTGCTATATTGTAACAAAATTTTTTAAAGGCCTTTAATGATCAGACAATTATCATAATAATCTGATCATGACAAATTGAGTTTTCCTGTCTGCAGTTTCAAAGGAAGTGCTGGACAGTCCTTTGCCTGCTTCCTAACTCCTGGAATGAATGTACGACTGGTGGGGGAGGCTAATGATTATGTTGGAAAGGTGCCATGTCAAACTTACTTTTTTTTATTATTGGAGCATTTACATATGTACCACGCAATTTTTATGTATTTATATATCTAACAGCTAAACTCTAACTATTGCATTTATACCACAGTATCCAAATCATTCATATCATATACAAAATATCACTATTTTAACTTCTAAAAGAAGTGAGATACACATTGTTATGCAATAGAGAAGGTGACTTGTATGTAAAAGTTTGTGTTAGATATGCAAATACAAAGAATTGAGTGGTATTTATGTAAATCTTTCTTTTTTATTTTATACCTCAAACTTTCTTGCTCTTATCAAATGTTAAAACTTAACAAGTTGTATATTTGCAGGGTATGGCTGGTGGAGAGCTTGTTATTACTCCTGTCGAGAACACTGGCTTCTCTCCAGAGGATGCTACCATTGTGGGAAACACCTGTCTGTATGGTGCAACAGGAGGTCAAGTGTTTGTTAGAGGAAAAGCAGGCGAACGTTTTGCTGTGAGAAACTCTCTTGCGGAAGCTGTTGTTGAAGGCACCGGAGATCATTGTTGCGAATACATGACTGGTGGCTGTGTTGTTGTTTTAGGAAAGTATGTATTTATTATTTTATTCTCTGTTTGTGGCCTTCTTTTTATTTATTTTGCTATTAAATTGTTTTTGTTTTTTTTTTTTTTTGAATTTCTGTAGAGTGGGCAGGAATGTAGCTGCTGGCATGACTGGTGGTCTTGCTTATATTCTTGATGAGGACGACACACTAATTCCGAAGGTATCTTTCAATCCTCTCTCTTTCACTTTTTCCAAAGTTATCCTCTCTCTCTGTGCTATTGTCTGTGCCTTAGAAGATTGAAGATTTTACATTCCAATTTCAACTCAAATGAACAGAGGACAATAAAGCAATTTCATTTGGAAATCAAGGACATCTTAATATTTTCAGAGAATATCTTTTATCATATAATTTCCTCTTGATTAGGTAATTTCATCTGTCTTGAATCATGAAATTTTTCTTCCAATTACAAATAGTTGCAGATGGGGGCATTGTTGCGAATATGGAGACCGGTTTACTGTTCAAATTGACAGTTTCTCATGTTTGACAGCAAATTTGATTTGATACTCGAAATTAATTGTAAAATTAATTGCTCTTAATTTCTTCCCTATATTTTCTACAGCTTTCCTGGTATGAATCCCGCCATCTATGATATGCTGGAGAAGAGAAAATGAAATAATTAATAGGTTTCATTAATTATTTGATTAATTCTTTAATGGGTCTAATAGCATGATTAAATTAATAAATAGACATATTACAGCTCCTGTTGGAATCTCATTCGGGCTTGGTTTTTTCATTTCTTATTATTCGGTGTGGATCTCGGGTAGAGAGAGGAATGAGAAGAGAGAGAAAGAAAG